TCTTTGTTTGGTTTTCTCCCCCTTTACGCACCTGTCTCCGTGTGTGTTTCTTGTCGAAATGCGGAATAGAACACGAAGTGAGCACCACGGACATGACGAGTTTAAACAAAAGCGAGACGCAGAACATCTCTGCCGCCGAAGAAAAGGTTCCAAGTAATCTTCCGCAATGGACGAAAGGCAACTATGAAATTAACTGGGTGGCCGTCGCCGTTTTGGCTCTACCTCCCACGATGGTTTTTGCGGCCATTTTGGCGGGTATTCCCCTGCTTCCAAAGACTTTTGCGGTAGCAGCATTTTTCTATGTGTTCAACGGCATGATTGGTATTACACTTGGTTACCACCGCCTTTTTTCGCATCGAAGCTTTGTTGCGCACCCGATACTTCAGTGGATTTGCGTATTTGCTGGTGCGGGTGCTTTTGAAGGCTCTGCCAAGTGGTGGGGCCGCAATCATCGCATCCACCATCGCTACGTGGACACCCCTAAAGATCCATACGATGCCACTCGTGGGTTTTTTTTTTCCCATATGGGCTGGATGGTCATGAAGCAAAATTATGGCCTCCTTGGGAAAGTTGACGTGTCGGATTTTAAGTACAACATCATAATTCAGTTTCAGCATCGCTACTTCTTCAGAATTGCTATGTTGTCCGGTATTATTCTCCCAACGCTGATTTGCGGCCTTGGTTGGGGCGATTGGCTCGGTGGGTACTTCTATGCAGGGCTCGCGAAGGTGGTGTTTGTGCACCATTGTACCTTTTTCATCAACAGCCTGGCCCACACGAGCTTTTTTGGTGCGGTGCAGAATTACTCGGACCGTAACACCTCTCATGACTCCATGGTCTGTGCACTCTTGACGTTCGGGGAGGGGTACCACAACTTTCACCACGAGTTTGCGCAAGACTATCGTAACGGCATCAAATGGTATCATTTTGATCCGACCAAGTGGACCATCCGCCTGTGTGAATGGCTGAGGATGGCCTCGCATCTCATGCGCACACCCAACGAAGTGATTGAAAGGAACGTGAAGAATCTCCAATACAAGGGGGTTCGCAGACAGATGGAACTTCTCGAGAAGCGATTAGGGGAGCTTGAGCTCCCCACAACTGTGGAATATACGTGGGAGGATGTTGCAAAATATGTGCAGCAGGGCCAAAAACTGATCGTGATTGGGGACAACGTTATTGATCTGGAGAAGTCCGTTCCAACGGGCTCCGGCTACACGCACTCCAATGAAAAAATTGTTTGGTATGAAGCACACCCGGGAGGGAAGAAGATGTTGGATATTTATGTGGGCAAGGACGCTACGGAGGCATTCCAAGGAGGAATATACAAGCATTCTTTGGGTGCCGAGAGCCTGATTCCTCACCTGCGTGTCGCCAAATTGAAGCGTAAGTGAAATTTGACG